CCCGTAAAGCATTGTAACGGACACGCGTGTTTGCAAGCCGCCACGTAATACACTTTTGTTTTGTATCGAAACCACAACGAGAACGTATCATGCATGGTGGTTCGACTCCACTGCTGCAACAACGCTGCAACAAAATACTCTGTACTATCAGCTATACTGTTGTATCCAATTTGAAGCCATTGCGACCCAAGCAAAAATATTATTTGGTACCAAGACTTGTGACCAGGACTTGTGAACCGAGTTCGTCGTGGCAAGATAAGAAACCATCAATTCGGATATTGTCGTTAGGGATGTGATGCGCTGAGAAGGAAGATGATCAAAAGGACCGACGGGCCTTTTGGTAAAATTCAGTTGGACGAGAGGTTTCGACCAGCCTTCCAGCTTTGCTGTCGAACATGAACGGTTGCAAAAAGAAGCACAGACACTGATTGGACCATGAGGCAGTTGGTGGAATATTGCTGCACAGTGCCTTGCTGAATTCATCTATTGTCTGTACCAATTGGAAATTTGGTCGTGGCATCGAACCCAGGCCCCGTAGCACTTTTTTGTTTTGTTGCGCCCCATAGCGTAGGCGTCGCCCTGGCTTACAATGAGGTGCAATGCGACGAGTCTCGTTTCCTGCAAAAGAAAGTATTTCGTTTAGGAGCAAAAAAGGACAGACACCCTGTTGGTATGAGCACATTGGCCGACGAGCGACTAAAGTGTTGATCACGATCGATGGATTGCTGTTAGGTGCCTTTTTCGTGTTTCGAATTGTTGAAAGTATATCAAAATATTTGGTCATCACATCGAACCCCGGACACGGAATTCAATACATTTAGCCGCTGCATGGTCGGAATTTCATGCATTTTTGGTAGAGTGCCAAAGAGGTAGGCTCAAGCTCACTGCATCGCATCGACAGCGACAATAATCCAAGCGGGAGGAAATGCAGATACAACGAAGAGCAATTATCATCGCGATCGCCCACTTTGTCGCCGGTTCCAGCAGCTAGACTCTTTGAGAGGGGCACAACCATCGTCGCCATCGTCGTTGACAAGAATGCCGAGATTCTAGCTACACCTAACTTCTTCTAGCTGGAGTTGACTATGGTACACCATACTGTCTGGGAACGCGTATCGACTGGGAACGCGTATCGCACTGTGGC